TCCGCTTGGCGTTCTTGAGGCGGTTCCAAAGTTGGTCCGGCGTTTGGCAGATGAATTGGTTGTGGAACTTCGCTCGGATGGTCTCGAAACTGTCGATCCTCGAGTTATACCCACCACACCTGACCCAACTGACCTCGAAGGCATGGACGAACGCCGTCAATCTCATTTGGCTGTTCATCCCGTAGCTACATTTCTCAAAGAAATGCCAGAAAGCTGCCGCTCTCTCGTTCGTAGCCGTTTCCGAGTAGAAAGGAACGATCACCTTCACGGCGCTCCTCAACTCATTCGGGATACCCACGTAAGTAGCGGCTCGTCGAGGGTAATCCGAGCGTTCAGGAACGCCCTTGCGTCGATACTTAGCATCTCGAGATCCAGAGCCTCCTTCAAGGCCTTGGTTCCTCAGATACGACGGTGATGCTCCTCCTGCCGCTGGAGGCGTCCCTAGTGAGGACATATTCGGATACTCCTGAGCTGGTGCTACGGGAGCTGGGGGCCAAGCGGGTAGCGTTCCATCCTTGCCCAACCCGGCATTAGGCCATCGATTCGTACTGAGAATAGTGCGCTCCCGTCCTAGGCGTTCCGCCTATCTTCCCGTTCCTATAAGGACTAATCTCCTTCGAAGGTACGCCTCGGTACGCGGGAACCGGTCCCAAAGGCATCCCCACCGACATCATAGTCTTCGCAGGTGTCGGGGCTCGAGGGATCAAAGGTCTCGGATACTCGATTTGATGCGCGCTCGAAGGTCGTCCCAACTCCGTACGCTCCAGTCTGGCCGACCCAGGCGTGTAGCGTGCATCTAGTCCCGTCGTTCGTGAGCGTGGCGTTCCAGCACTAGACTCACGAGACAACGTCCGTTTCCGGAGTACTCGCTCGACCGACTCTTCCACCAGCGCTTGCAACCTCGAGTCGTTGGAAGGCGTTCCAGACCGGACGGACGCTGCTATCGAGCGAGCCAGGGTCGACACAGATTTCGACGCAGACTACGCAGGTGTGGCCATGGACCTCACCGAGGCAGTCGTTGATCGGGCCGGCGTCGCCACTGACCGGGCAGGCGTTTCTCCTGATCGGGCAGGCGTGGACATCGACCTCGCAGGCGTACTCACCGATCGAGCGGTCGTAGCCACTCGGTCATCAGGTCGTCTCGAACGGTACGTAGTCGTTCCCCGGGTCGTCCTTCCCCTTGCGATCCTTGCTTTCGTGCTCGCGTTCGTCGGGGTGGTTGCCTCCCTGGCGCTTCCAGCATCCCTGAGGGGTGTCAGTGATGGGTTTTGAGATCGTGGCGTAGTCCTCGCGTCAATTCACGTACAATACCTACCAACTTCCTCCACATACATGTAAAGGCATCTTTCCAAAGTGAGGGCCTGACCATGGTCACATAGATCCACCAGCGTACTCAAGCACTCGTTATTCCGAGCGAGCATCTCGAACGGGAGAAATGTTTGATTCTTTTCACCCACCACTCCTCTAAAACTCCACTGCAGTAGGCAATGAGTTCCGCAAAAAAACTCATTTTTTGCTCAGCTTCGTTGCGTCACGGGCCTGCTCTCCACGGGCAAGGCTGTCATTTATAATGGCTACATCAGTGAGTCTGAGCTCGCCCCAGAACCGACAAATAGCTATGGGCGGCTCTGACGTTACATTCGCCACCCATTTTACTACAGGCTCGACAAATGACAATAAAATACTGATCCCACCTCGAGCCATTCTGCTCTGAGCAAAACTGCTGAGTCTTAGAATACTCAGGCCGTTTCTCGGGTCCCACGTCACAATTTGACCTTCCAGCAGATCCTTTAGAAGCGTAATATCCTTGTTGATCGCTCTATCCGGTAAAGTCATGGCTGCGTCTTTAAAGTGTTACAGAATAATAAGAAGCCGTGTCCTGAAAGAGTCCTCCATGTCAGCGGGCATCTTGTACATTTGTAGGAGATACTTCCGTAGCTTGTGGCAGGCTCGAGCAGCTGTTATAGAGGTATCCCTGTGAAGTATACGATTCCAATAACATACCGGCGTGACGGGTCGAAAGAGAACGCCACTTCTCGGGGCGTTCCCGACATGAGTGCTCTCAGTTTCTCACTCTGTCCTGGCCTCCGAACTAATTGCTCCAAGATGACACCCAACCGCTCTTGTTCCTCGCGCGTCTCGGGCTCTCACAGGACCTCCTTCATTATCCCCAGCAACTTGTATCTTGTTCCTCGCGCGTCTCGGGTTCTCACAGGACCTCCTTCATTATCCCCAGCAACTTGTCTCTCTCAGCGTCGTCCCGTTCTTCCGACTCGGCAGACCGAGGCGCTCCGATGATCACGGGAACGTCTCCACTCCCTCTGGCGCGGGCCTCTTCCTGCTCGCCACCGCCGGCGGTACTAGGCGCGCGCTTGTCCTCCTCGTAGATCTCGGCTTGGAACAGCGACTCGGGCAGAAGCGGAGACGACCATCCCCCACCTTCTTCCCTTGTCTCACCGCCGTGTCCCTCACCGGACCAACCGTGGGCGCTCATGGCGTTTCCACTTCCTTTTTCCTCCTTCTTCGGCGTTCAGCTGTCAAAGGGGCGGCTCACTCCGCGTTTACGCTCCTACGATTCTTCGGCGTGAAGATACCCTGCTTCTCCACCAAATCGTCGCGGTAATCCTCCTTAGGTCGGGGTCGTGTATCTAGCAGGCCGACGTAGGAACTTCGCTTTATCACGTAAATGTAAAGTTGTTGCTGTATTCTTGAGCACTTCTCTTGTAAGAAGGGAAATCATATCTGAGCTTCTACCTAAAGCTCCCAGATGAACACTAGTCTCTTTAACTTTCTGTAAATCGCTCCCACGTAGAGGCCGAACGCAAATTCCCACCCTTGTCGACAGCAAGACGTGCCACCCTAAGCTTGGAACGCCGCCGATTGGGCCGGAGGGCACAGTTGCTTGGACGTGGCCTGCGACGTCTGCAGCAAGCAGATCTTCCGAACGCAGTCCGAGAGAATAGCGAGTCCTCCTTCTAGCTGTGTATCGAGACACGAGCCTATTCTGTCCCATATCTGGATACCAAACAGCCGTAATTCCTTGTTGCAGCTCTGGAATATCACCTCCTCCTCCTTGCACCGCAGTCTCTTGAGGTCGTTGCAGCCCAACTCCGGGTACAGGTTGCTGCCCGGCCTGTGCTGCCTCGAACAGTCTCTGGCGGTCCAAAAGCGATATCTTGTGTCCCCGCGGCTGTAACGCTCGGTGGTTGTGCCGTTCTCTTCGGCGAAGCAGTAAGCGGTGTGTGTGGTTACCATTCGAGCGAGTCGATGTGCATCCTTGCACCCTGACCCGGGCTTGATTCAAATAAGCTCGAGTCAGCCGGGCGCATGGACTTCTCCATGTTGTGGCCTTGCTGTCCCTTGACGTGATCTTATTCTCCAACTTCGTTTGGGACTCTTCAAGTCGAACAATCAGTGTCGTGAGCTCGGATGTTTCGTCTGGTTTGACCGTTTGTGCTTTCCCACCAGTGTAGTTGCCATTTCCCCTTTCACGAGTCAAAGCAGTACCATCGCCACTCTCTCGAGTCATGGCTGGGCTCTTGTCTTCCTTGTCATCTGTCATTCCGATCCTTGCGCGATCGGTGGCGAGTCTAATGGTCGGCGCAGCAGCGCCGTCGTCCTTGGATTTGTCAGAGACGTCGTTCATTCGGGCTCAAAACCTGCTCGATCCTCGGCCTCTCGGCCAGTGGATCGCACAACGCAGTATGCAGATATAAGCTAAAGACAGAGTGAGATTAGATCTTACTCCCACCAACTTCTCTCCTTAACCCCCTGCCCTACACGCTCAGTCATGTGAGCCTCACGTTCGACATGGTACGACGCAGGAACCAACCCTCCTCTACACATCTCAAGATACAGGGCTCGGGCCAGCGCAGCCTCTTTAGCCTTGCAAGTTTCATTTCCAACAATTTTGTCTAGGCTGCTGTATCTCGTTTTCTTCCCTTTCGTACAATGTGCTAGTGGGTTAGGACTGACACGAGAGAGTTTAAAAATTCCTCAAGCTCTGGTTAGCAGTCATTTTGCCGAACACTATACAAGCTTCCGCAATCTGTTATTATACACACCTCGAGAAACCCAGCTATTAAGAGGCCTGTAAGTGTTCATGACCATGTTCATGCTTTATTACAAAAATGATCATAAAACCAGGTAAATCGATATACCGAGATCTAAACTGGTATCTATCTTAAAAACGGTTCTTTAAACGTTCAATAAAACCGGTTTACCGCGTTCTACACAGTGGCTACCGTCTTACCCCGCATATAAGGCATATGTGCTGTAAATGAATACAACACTGCTGGTGTGTTATATTCGTTTAGAAAGCCTATGTGTTGTACAACGAACAAATTGTTTGACTTTGAAGAAGCAAGTTTGTGGGTCCTGGAATCTGGCTTGGTCGTTGAGGTTTGACCCTCCTACGCGATCGGGTAGGGCTCAAACCCGCCTGCGTGCAGCTCACATGATGTTGTGATTGGTAGCGGGTCTTTTCTTTCTGTTGTGGCTGCGTTGTATACGGAGGTTTTGCTTGTTAATATTATGAATTCTACTATTGTTTTTTTTATAAGAATCGTTTGCACAAATGCATTACATGTAATCACGTGTATTATATTATGTATCCACCTACTTTCACTGCGAAATATGATCCGGAGCAAACCAAGCACAGCGTTTTCAGAGGATTTTCAACCGTTTACGAGAATTTGGACACCAGCTTGTTGTCCTTTTCAGCAGTACGTACCTATAGCTACGTCGTTCAGCACTCATGGCTGTGTAAATTATAAAATAAGAGAGCTAAAGCCAAACCGACAAGTTTGCTCAAAAGGGTGGTTGGTTGGGAGCTCTCAAAGAATATTCATTGGTTGGTACAGCCTTGTGTTTTAAGTAGGTTTCAGCCACATGTGTTCTAATTAAGTAGGTGGTCAAATTGAGGTTTAAGCTAGATGTCGAGCGAATCCCGTATTTTATTTAGAACACATATGCCTTATATGCGGGGTAAGACGGTAGCATCATCGACGGCTATCAACTTTTTGTTTCAACTTGTTCACGATCTTCAGGTACTTCTCACGGTGGACTGGCTTCTGGATGTACTTAATGCAGCGAATCAACTTGTCCGCGCACAAACCGGTGTCCAAGTCCGGTAGCGTATCCCAAGACTGTAAACGGTAAGAGACAACATCTCGAAGTTCCTTGACGGCCTTGTCGAGCTGATTCACCGAAAAAATGCCATCTTGCCACTGCTCTGCTTGAGCTATTATCTTTTCCAGTCGGTCCTGCATTTCTTCAACCACTTTCAGCGCCTTGGATGGTTGGGAATGAGTCTTCGCAGCTTGCCTCTTCTGGTCTTCCACCAATTTGGCACTTTTTCCTTTCTCGGTTCTAAGCTTCGGTACCCCAGTAGCTTCTCGGATATGTTGCGGAATGCTCATCTCGAGACTCTCCAGTTGCGCTCGAACTCTATTTGCAAGTACCAATAAAATAAAAATTAGTAAAAATAGTATCAGCTCGAGCCACTGTCCAGATCAACGTCGTACCGGTGAAAATATATCCTTAGCACCTCGTTCTTGGAACAAGAGTCCGTCAACGCAGCGATCAAGGAACTCACTTCCTCTGCGCGTTCAGGAGTCCACTTAAACTTTTTGAGCACTGTCACAGCAGTTTCAAGTGCGCGAGCTGTGACTTCAGCTGCAGGGTTATCAGTTGTGTGAGCGTCACGACTTGACTGGTGCGTGAGGATCAGCTTGAGGTCAAGCAACGTCTTCACCCACTTGCGACTAATCTCTGCATTAGTATTCGGGTTAGCTTTCCTTATCTTCGAAAGGCAGCTGAGAGCCTCGTGAGCGAGAGACAAATCCGCACTTTGCTTTTTGTCAGGAGCAGCAAGAGACCCGTTTTGTTTCTGTTTCTTGGGTTCATTCCCCAGCATTTCGTCGTCGTCTTCCTCGTCGTCTTCGCTGCTGGATGAAGACGACGAAGAATCGCTGGATGAAGATTCCGACTGCTCTTCCCGTTTCCTCTTCTCCTGCTTCAGCACTTTTTCCTTTACTTTTCCGCCGTCCACTTTCATTCCACTCACGACGCCCTGAAGTTTATCATTCAATTCTTTTTGCAATTGCAACGTGCTGTTCATCACTTCTAGGAGCGTCGCGCTGCGCCCACTGGGCCCTTTGCCTTGCTCCAGTTGATGCACGGCATCGCGTACTTCTTCCACTTTGGCAAAAGCTGCTGTGACGTCGTGTACGGATTTACCCACACCTGAGAGTATCTCTGACAGTACCACATTGGAGCTTCGGTGAAGCTCTGAGGAATCCACGAGCGACAGGATGCGCTCGTACAGCGCCAAGGTGTCCAGCGATGTCATGCTCGCCAATGAATACAGTACAAGTACCGGGATTAAAGTTTATCGAATTAGAGAGGATGTAGCCATTATGTTCTTTTAACAAGATCAAGATCTTACTTCGTACGAATACATCGACACCGTTTTTGTTTTACGTTGTAGGGACTGTCACCAAACTACAGACGGATTTCCTCAAAGTATACAGGTCAGAACTGCATCTTATTAATCCCACAAAACCAGTTATTTTGCCTTGATTAACAAGCTGCTGCAGAAGTTTCAGTAGAATGTGGAATCCTTACCACGAGCTGGATATGGAAGATCGCTCGCTGCAATTTAAATAGTTTTGCTCGAACTTGCCTGGAAGAAAGTGTCCATTTTAATGGACATGAAAGACGGATCCCTCATTTATAAAGCATATATCGTGTAGCATACAGTGAAAACTTTCGTGGGTGGTGGATGTTGTCTCCGTCGACTTTGGGGACCAGCTTACAGTCCAGATGAAGCTGATGTCAAATAAAGTATCGTCCACGTAAGCAAGACAAAAGTTGAAGACGTTAATAGACCGACTGCAGCGTATTGTTTTTACTCGTAGCTAGATGTAGCTACTTGCGCTTTCAAACGCACCATTTAGATGTCAAGAAAGGCAACTGTGTCCTTTGATAGTGGCCGAAGCGATATTCTTTTTCCGTCGCACTCGGCTGTTGTCGACGCTTCTAACTCTTGTAGCTATTTCAATACTGTCGTGGGTTTACTTTTGATATGAACACATAAAGTAGTTTTAATTTTGTAACAAAATATCATCAACTCGATCGGTGAACATACCCACGCAATTCAATATGATCGGTCTCCATGTTCTTCATATAAGTGACAGCTTCGGACACAAAGCGTTGAAATCTGTAGGTCAAGTAGCCATGAAGAGGAATCTCAGCCACCCAGAGCCGCGCAGGCTATACTGTACTACGAACATATTTTTATACTTGCACTCCAAGTCAACCCTCATCGCGATTTCGATCATGCTGAGTATTACAGCGATGCGCTGCGGTTTGTCATCGCACGGCAGCGTTTTCAAGTTTTCAACAAGCATCGGTACGTCCTCAGTAGACGTCCCATCAACTTGCCATCCTTCCCTTTTGTTATCATGCTCTCCAACGCGCGAAAACTTTCCTTCGGAAGCTTGCCTAGTTTACCTTTCGTACTGTTAATGCTTGTTAGCTCGAGAGTATTAAGAAGGTGACAATCCGAAACGTACTGTTGAAAACTATTAATCAATGACTTGTTCGTGGCGCGAGGGAACAATAAGAACTTGAGCCTCGTAGAAATATTCAACTGTCCATTTCAGTTTTCGTGAGATCACCACGACAGTCTCTAATGCTTGCACTGCCATTCCAGTAATGTCGTTGCCTCCCACGATTGTATTACTACAGGTTTGTTGCTGGAAAGTGTCCTTAATGCCAATAATGGCCTTCGATTAACTCGTTCTGATGTCGAAAGGAATCTGACGATTAGCGGTTTTCTTGGTTGACAGCGTATACAAACACTCCCAAGCAAGATCCATACAAGCGTCAGTCGTGTTGGGTTGCGTTGACGGAGCGAAACTCAGTTCCTCGTCCTTTCACTTCTTCTGTTTATTGATCGTCTCTATGTCTCGTTTACGTTTCTTCTGATACTCCTTTTTATCCTTAAGAGCCCCGATTGCTTCGTCCTCGATCAAATGGCATCGTTTGCTCACCACTTGCCAGTCCTACTTCTGCGCTAGTCTGCATTTACTCACCGAGGTCATTCCTACATCCACTGTCCATGGCCTCATTTAAGGTACGTTTCGTCTTTGTTGCTTATTACAACTATTCCATCAAGCTTTCACTGCGACGCAGTGCGTCCAGTCGATTAATTCATCGCAGTGCGCACTTCGTCCACCTTGCCAAACGCTGCAGTAATTTCAGGCACTGCTCGATGCAAGGCTGATATTTCGTCCTGCAAAACGATGTTACAACTGCGTTGACGCTCGGAAGGCTCGCGTCAGAAAGCGCGCATATAGCTCCATCATGAGACCCTCTAAAAATATTTTTTCTCACCAATTAAAAACTCAACTACTAATATTAAAAAAGGAAGGTACGGTGCCAGTTTCGTGCTACCGGTAGTAATTTTAGAGCGTGTTCGCTTTGTGCCCTAGGTAGAGATTGATGTAGAGAAACGAACTTATCTTTCTCGAGAAGCGTTCGCTACAGCTCAAGCTCCAGACATCATTTCAACCAATAGCTCACCACTTCTTTTCTTGTGGCACTCTGGCTTCGCAGACTCCAAGACGCCAAGACAGCTTTAGCGATGACCCCCCACACACAGCACACGCCGCTTTCCCCTTCGGTCGACTTACCACGCAGCATCGAGCCTCCTGGTGCGGTTACCACTCTGTGCGACGGCGAAGTGGGGGGAGGACTTGCTGCTGGGAGTGAAGGGCCAAATGCTGGGCAGGGTCCTCCTTCTACCTTTGCCTGGACGCCGAAGGCAACTGACGCGGTGCTACGCGTTCGCTTCGAGATGATGCGCGATCGTTTTCACCGCAACAAGAGCTCAAAGCAGCTGTCCATCGCGTGGGACCTTGTGGCAGCGGAGACTTCTCGGCTTGGCGGTCTCATTGTTGACGCGAAGCAGTGCAAGTCAAGGGTACTGTGAGTATTGATGTGTTGCTGACGAGATGCTAACTTGAGTGCAAATGTTTTGCTTATTATATGATCCAAGCTTAAATACATGCACAAGCAGTACACAGCGTATCGAGTCGCTGCAGAAGCAACGGGCAACACCACCGATAAACCGCTAAAAGAGCCGCCATGCTATGCCACAATGTGTGACGTGTGGAGAGATCATGATGGCATGGATTCGGATCCTTTCTTTTCTAGTGATGCTTCGAGCCATTACCTGTCGTCTGACAGATCCCAGCAGCAGCACAAGGGAAGTGATACCAGTGCTGAGTGTGATGATGGGGCTAAAACCCGGGACGAACAGCGAGGATCGCGCGGTTGGAAATCGCGTGGTAAACGCTCACGCGGCAGCGACGACGCAGCGGAGGGAATGATGTCTATCGGGGCTGGGCTGAACAACATTGCTGAAGCATTTAAAGCAGCACGAGTGCAGAGCACCGACAGCCAAAGCAATGGCGTTTTGAGCTCGTTAAAGGAGTTAACGAAGACTGTTCGAGCTCAGGCGCGTAGTAGCGAGGAAATGATGGGCTCTGTCCAAGAGCTGACGCGAACAGTGCATGCCCAAACGCTCGCATTGAACAATTTGGTGCAGCTGCTTGCTGCAAACACCAGCACCCGTCAGCCTGAGTAGCGAGTCTATTGCATGAAAAATGTAATAACAAGGAACTCAAGCAGATTGACCTTTCAGCTTTATAAATGCTCTATTATGGCCAAAGCAAATTAGCAATGGCATTTCGTTTCGCCACAGCGACGTCACGTTGGCGGCTCAAGCACGTAGTGTCGTCGAAAATTAACTCGTCGTCGTCTTCTTCCACGTAGCGAGGAATTGCAGCAGCATCTCGAAAGCTAATGATCAGATTGTGTAGCACAGTTGTGGCAACGATTACGTCGCTTGCATCACGAGGCGTGTCTTGGTTAAGCGTGCATTGCAAAATACCCTTCCAATGGCCAAATGTACTTTCGACTGCCATGCGCGTACTGGAGTGAAAATAATTGAACTTGTTCTGACGCTCTGTCAGCGCTCCACCTTCTTCTCTGTCGGAGTATGGAACCATTAAACCAGGCGACAACGCATAACCAGCATCGCTCACAAAATGCGTGCCTGCAGGGATAATGTTGAAAACATTTCGAGCGATGACGCTATGTTGCCAGCATTTGCGGTCGGACCACGACCCAGGGCGCACCTCCACACTCAAAAAATAATTGTCCATCGTCACGATTGCTTGAACATTCAGGGCAGGATAGCTCTTACGACAGTAGAAGCCGTCAAAATCATCCGGACGCTCAACCTCAACAAGCGATCCGTCAATAGCTCCAGCAACACCAGGATAGCCTTGGCGTAAAGCAAACTGGTCTTCGATAGTATTCCACCTTCTACGGTCACGCGGAAACGAAATCACTTGACACGCTACCAACTTCAACACGTGAATCACTTCATCTGTAATCTCCTTCACGTAGCTTCGCGACATCCCCATAGCGGCATCAACCTCACGATAACCACCAGAAGATCCTAGAAAGTATAGAGCTGCAGCGACCTTCTTCTCGTAGGAGTGCTGGCGTACCTTGGCGTTAGCAAACCGAATTCCATGCTCTTGTAGGAAACGGCCTAGCCGCAGAAACGTCTCCTTGGTACAACGCATGTTATCCTCAAACCAGCTTGCATACGCTGCTGATTGCAGCATCGTGTCAAAAGGCAAACTCGTCACGGTAAGAAACTGTGAAGGACTTCTTCGAGGAAATGGCGCTCTATCGCCCGCAATAAATGCCACGGCGTGTCCTACAGCGGCACATGCCACCAGCACAAGATCGTCCTCTTCCATGGACTCGCTGCCACTCCTCAGTCGTCTCCAGCCAAGTGTCTCCTTCTCCACCTCCGAGAGGTGGAGAAAAAGAGTACATAAAACGCCATTTGTCTCCTGTTGTGTCGTTGCCATCGATTCAATTTCATCCAATCAGATAAGAGATTAAAAAGGTTTGGTATGTCGTCTCCTTCTCCAGCTGCGAAGCGAACACGCTCTTAGCTAATCAGATCACAACAGTAGTACGGCACATGGCGCCTTTTCAAAAATATTATTAAATGAGACAACCCAAAACTAAATGATACTTATGAACCTAAGTACGAATCGAAAAGCGGGGCGTCTCCTCTTCTTTTGAGCCCTTATAAGCTGCAGAATGCCTAAAACTGGAGAAGTTGTGATCGCTCAAAAATATTATCTTCATTTATGGGCCCTCGAAATGACGATACATTTAGGAGTGTTGTGAGCTCAATATTTTTTCATTTTTAGAGATTTAAGTGTTATTTAAAAGCTCTTGTTAAAAGCAATTGAATAAGTGTAGTTTTACATTTT